CCTTCTAAGGTGTGCATCCTCTCTCAATATTTTTCTTACAGAAGGATTGTAGATGTCTGTCACTTGGTAATGTTCTTTCTTTCTTTTAAAAACAGAGTTGCTTTTAGCTCAATTTCCTGTTGATGTTAGTGAACAAGCACTAACTTCATTTAATTGGGTCGCTTTCTTTCTATTCATAAATTTTCAACAGTACTGTAAGCTTGTAGAGTTTTAATTCACTGTTACATGTACATTCTATAGTTTGTGCGAATTAAGATTTGAATTCTTTGTACATAGTTTGTTAACAGAGCTTTATTTTGATCAAAAAACTTTATAAGTTAATCATTAGGTTTTGCTATTCTTGGCTCTATGCTGTGTATTCACAAAATATTCGCAAATGTATCTTCCCTGAAGAACAAAGTTTGCTGACAACTCCCGAAGATTCGACATTCTACACTTTAATACACTAGTTTCTTGGGATACAGCTTTGTTTCACTGAGAATCCCGACGTTTCTCGAGATTGAAGCCAACCGGAACTCAACAGCGAGATTGGAGTAAAAACAAAACTATCTGTTTCTCTAGGAAAACTTGGGACGCGAGTGTGATAAAAATATCACGCCAGCTTGTGTCACGATGTTATCATATGCTTCAGTTCCATATAAAAAACGTGAAAGTGATGACCGATCCCTGGGTTGTGTCATTTTCGCTGCCGCACAGGGGAGTCCAAGTATACGTTTCATCTTGTTCAGGTTCCAACTGTGCTTGAGACATCATCGATTTATCATCATTGCCACGTGACCATCGATCAACTAATACAAGTGTGCGGTAGATAACATGAAACTTCAGCTATATAACTAAAGATGTGTTTGGCAAATTGATTTTTTTTTGTAGCACACTCAGTTTATATTGCACTGATAAAGGTAAAAACACGTATCAATCATATGTCGGTTTTTTAAATTAAAAACTGCAAAGTAAACATTGTTATCAGAATTTTAGGTTGTAGTTATCTTATGATTAATTTTGGAGCCGTTTTGATTGAGTATTTATGACATGCAGGCTTGTAAACTGTTCATCTGTTCTAGTGCCGTGAGATGATCTACTTTGTGTTCCAGCAAAATGCGCCTTTTGGAAAGAGTCGACTCAGTGATAAGGCAATGCTAACATAATGATAAATTGCTTCATTTGTGTTGCTATAAATATCTATACTCTCGCCGAAATGATTCAAGTAACAGACCTCTTGAATTTACGCAAAGCTTAATCAGGCTTTCTCAAGTGATTAATTCAGCTATGTGCAAAAAGTAGATTCAATTTACAGGAAATAACAAATAGTTGTTTCCTTGGTCAAACAAACCTTGGGAACATTGAAACAGAGAAACACATTTTCAAACTCTAAGCTTGCAGACAATCAAAGACTATACCTCAGTACAGTTGTATATTGTATTACCTTGAACGTGTATTTTAAGCCTTAGGGTACTCCTCAATTTGGCTACCCCCCTGAACCACCCACCTTACCCATTCGCTCCCCTGCCAGCACAGGTCACTACTTACAGTACTTGCGTTTTAAAGTCAGCTATTTTATTCCCGGGTTTATTCTGGGGACTGACCACTCCTCGTTTGGAGGGGTGGGCAAAGATGAATGGTATACAATAGGTCTTGATTTGATGTTCCCTGGGGTTGCATATAATGCCTGAATAACTGAATTGATTGACATGCATTGTGATAGCTGGTAAACCTACAGGAAATTGTCGCCTAAAAATAGATTCTTTTGAGAACTGTTGATATTTCGACATCTGTTAGCAATTATGTCTGTGGGTATTAGAATTGATCAGTTATAGATAAAAGGCCAACCAAACGGGACGTATTTAGGACAAATATGTACAGAGAAATGGATAGGTTGTCAAGTGAGTGAAAGCGTGTCCTTAACACAAGCCAAAGGAAAAAGCTTTTCGTGCTCAGCTGTCCTTTTGTCGAGCTGCATTCAGTTAAAAAACAGTCATAATACAAGGGTTGTGTGGGAACATAGACTTCGAGACTCCCCTCTCTTCGTCTTCTCTCGTGTCACGCTCAGCTGACAAAGAGAAAAGAAGAGCTGCTAGTAGTGTAGGAAACTTGCATCCAGAACTAATAAATTTTTCTACACATACTTAACTATACGAGCGGCGATATATTAAATGTGCTATATGATGTTTCTTTTTATCAATAGGTGAAATTAAAAAAAGTAATTCGTGCAAGTTTTAGAGTTGCCATAGGTGAATATCATTACCTTAATTCTTCTTAAAATTAACCCAGCAAGGAAGAGATAATTGCACCACGCCACATACTCGGAACGAATTACGTTGAGTTTTCATCCATCATTTATCTTTCGTTTATTTCGTGAGAACGCAGTTGTTAACGGCACAAGCTTGAAGTACCTGTAGGACCTGTAGCTAAATTTGCTGCAGCTACAGGTATTTGTTTTGGCAGGCTTTTGAAAGCTTAATTACGTGATATTTTTCATCCGGGGAATATTGTATATGTGAAAGTGGACAGAACAAAGATGCCGATGCGTTTTTTCTGTTGTTTTAGCGTTGTGTCTCCTCGAATTTGTACAAATAGTGTCGAGAATAAGTTGCTTGTATTTGTTTTGATTGTAAACTGGATCAAACTTGAACCGGACGAGGTTTGCGTGCGTGGTGAATTTCAGCTTAAATAAAATACCAGCTGCCGTTACTATATATGATTATAACAAAACTATTGTGAAATAAAGTGTGGTTTTACATGAATATTGCAGCGACACCTGAGCAGCCAGCTCTCTCAAATATTGAAAAAGAACAAAATGTAATTTTCTTTTCAATATTTAAACTCCTGTGTGGTCTTTCCCAGGAATATTTTCAAGTATAATTGCGTGGAATTATTTTAGCGGGAAGAGAGAGACTATTTCTTAATTACTGTGTAACGGTCGCTCTTGATAAAAAGAAATGTAAATTTATTAAAGGCAGCCGTTTTCTGTCAGTTTTTTCCCGAGGTTTCACGCTGGGAGAAAAAAAGCAAATAAAAAGGTAGCTTGAAAAGAAACTACGAACAAAAGGGCATCTAATACTCGATTATCTTTGTATTGTGGAGCAGCTGCACAAAGAAAATAAGATAGGAACACAGTAAATTCGGATTATAGTAATTGAACCGACGTTGAAAGTTGTCCGTAATGTGAAAAATATTTGTATTGTTTTTTCTATAGCGAACGTTTTTTTTTCTTCCAGTCTAACAGGAAATTTTCTATTATTTGCTTTTGTCTGTGCTTTATTGTTAACAAGACTGCTGGACACAATGTTTATTTAGTTTTCTTTTGAGAATGAACGTTTAGGATGAAGTTCATTATCATTTTTGACAATTTTTCACCCTTGCCTCATCATTGGTTCATTGGCGACTACTATTGACAATTTTTTGGCTGCCTGCGAAGTTCAAATAAAAATATGACAAGCGGCTATAAATACCTCCTTAATCGCGCTAGAATATATTTTCTGTCTTCAAGCTCTTTTACCTTTTACGAAGTTTAAGTACCTCTTTCGGGTCAACATTTTTCTCCGCGGAGGAAACTATTACATGAGAAATTAATATCAAATTTCGGCTATTTGCTTTGGTTGTTTGCCTACAGGTAAACTGGCCTATAGCATTTCATTCTATGAGCTGGAGTCCATGCGGATTTTCGTTGTTTAATTTAGACAGTATTCAAATTAAGTCTCGCTGGGTCTCTCGACGAAAGCGTGTATCCTGTACGATCACTTTCAATGTTATGAAGTACCTGGCTGTGTTTAGAGCAACGCGTTGAAAGGAAAATCGACATTGAATTTGTAATGTTTCTTGTGATAACCGAGTGTTCGTGTCGACGGTCGAGAGACATGTAAACACAAGCTCTAAGTTTAGAAGTCATGGCGTTGTTCATTCCAATTTCTCGACGCGCAAATGTTGGAAATCACAGTGACCTGTACCGTTATCATTTAGTTCCTCACAGTAGCGAATTTCCTGAGAGGTATTTCCTCTTCGTTCTCTATACGGTGATTTAGTACACGGCGCTAGCTCCTGTGAAGTCAATAGTGGGTTCACAAGTGGAACGAGCTATAAAAGGTGGACAGCTGTGAACATTTCAAGGTTGTTACGGCGAAGTTACCTTCCTGGAGAGATAACATTACAAATATTAGTTACTCCTTGACGATTTTTGCTTAGCGACGCGTCGACAGAGTGCCCGCTTGCCGTATTGTTTGGGATCTGTAGGCTCTTAGACAAGAGAAGTCCGCATAAAAGAACACATGTAGCTACTGAATGAGTCGCCGTTCTTTCGAGTAATCGCCATGGCTTTAGGATGAAACGCCATGCTTTCGTCAAGAAGAACAAAGTTCCTTCGCCTAAACTCGAACGGGGATATGTGTTCGGCGTTAACAGTTGGGTAAGTCAAAACAAAAGCATGTAATTGTAATGGATGATGCTTTTAATTTGCGCAGCAGCCAGTTTAAAAGAGGTAAAATGCAAATGTACAGCGAAGAAAAACGCAGAAAAGTTCAGTTCGATACTGATACATTGTAGCGTTAATTCTTGTGGAACTCTGTTATCAGTTTGTGATATTGTAAACCATGTTATAGTACACTTTTGTTTCTTAGGTTCATCGTTATTCAATTAAATAGCGGTGTCATTTACCCGCTGAATTATTCAAAAATTGTTTTCCCGTGATGTCTGTGTGACCAGCGCGTTTCTTGTCAGAAAATGGTTAAAAATCAGTCTAATTTTGGAATCCGCTCTATAGTATGTCGCCACCATTCCAAACTTTTATCACTTTTTTAGTAACTTTATCCTGCAATGCCCAACCAAAACTGAAGACATGTCAGTTTTGTAACTACAGTATATATTCAAGTGTTTAGTATTCTTTTGACCGACGAGGTCTCAAAAACCTATAAATTTTTTAGATTCAATCATAACGCCACGCTCTCGTTTTCAGAGCGAGTAAAATGTATTCTCAAAGCTGTGCAATATTGTGGCTNTGCTTTTAGCTCAATTTCCTGTTGATGTTAGTGAACAAGCACTAACTTCATTTAATTGGGTCGCTTTCTTTCTATTCATAAATTTTCAACAGTACTGTAAGCTTGTAGAGTTTTAATTCACTGTTACATGTACATTCTATAGTTTGTGCGAATTAAGATTTGAATTCTTTGTACATAGTTTGTTAACAGAGCTTTATTTTGATCAAAAAACTTTATAAGTTAATCATTAGGTTTTGCTATTCTTGGCTCTATGCTGTGTATTCACAAAATATTCGCAAATGTATCTTCCCTGAAGAACAAAGTTTGCTGACAACTCCCGAAGATTCGACATTCTACACTTTAATACACTAGTTTCTTGGGATACAGCTTTGTTTCACTGAGAATCCCGACGTTTCTCGAGATTGAAGCCAACCGGAACTCAACAGCGAGATTGGAGTAAAAACAAAACTATCTGTTTCTCTAGGAAAACTTGGGACGCGAGTGTGATAAAAATATCACGCCAGCTTGTGTCACGATGTTATCATATGCTTCAGTTCCATATAAAAAACGTGAAAGTGATGACCGATCCCTGGGTTGTGTCATTTTCGCTGCCGCACAGGGGAGTCCAAGTATACGTTTCATCTTGTTCAGGTTCCAACTGTGCTTGAGACATCATCGATTTATCATCATTGCCACGTGACCATCGATCAACTAATACAAGTGTGCGGTAGATAACATGAAACTTCAGCTATATAACTAAAGATGTGTTTGGCAAATTGATTTTTTTTTGTAGCACACTCAGTTTATATTGCACTGATAAAGGTAAAAACACGTATCAATCATATGTCGGTTTTTTAAATTAAAAACTGCAAAGTAAACATTGTTATCAGAATTTTAGGTTGTAGTTATCTTATGATTAATTTTGGAGCCGTTTTGATTGAGTATTTATGACATGCAGGCTTGTAAACTGTTCATCTGTTCTAGTGCCGTGAGATGATCTACTTTGTGTTCCAGCAAAATGCGCCTTTTGGAAAGAGTCGACTCAGTGATAAGGCAATGCTAACATAATGATAAATTGCTTCATTTGTGTTGCTATAAATATCTATACTCTCGCCGAAATGATTCAAGTAACAGACCTCTTGAATTTACGCAAAGCTTAATCAGGCTTTCTCAAGTGATTAATTCAGCTATGTGCAAAAAGTAGATTCAATTTACAGGAAATAACAAATAGTTGTTTCCTTGGTCAAACAAACCTTGGGAACATTGAAACAGAGAAACACATTTTCAAACTCTAAGCTTGCAGACAATCAAAGACTATACCTCAGTACAGTTGTATATTGTATTACCTTGAACGTGTATTTTAAGCCTTAGGGTACTCCTCAATTTGGCTACCCCCCTGAACCACCCACCTTACCCATTCGCTCCCCTGCCAGCACAGGTCACTACTTACAGTACTTGCGTTTTAAAGTCAGCTATTTTATTCCCGGGTTTATTCTGGGGACTGACCACTCCTCGTTTGGAGGGGTGGGCAAAGATGAATGGTATACAATAGGTCTTGATTTGATGTTCCCTGGGGTTGCATATAATGCCTGAATAACTGAATTGATTGACATGCATTGTGATAGCTGGTAAACCTACAGGAAATTGTCGCCTAAAAATAGATTCTTTTGAGAACTGTTGATATTTCGACATCTGTTAGCAATTATGTCTGTGGGTATTAGAATTGATCAGTTATAGATAAAAGGCCAACCAAACGGGACGTATTTAGGACAAATATGTACAGAGAAATGGATAGGTTGTCAAGTGAGTGAAAGCGTGTCCTTAACACAAGCCAAAGGAAAAAGCTTTTCGTGCTCAGCTGTCCTTTTGTCGAGCTGCATTCAGTTAAAAAACAGTCATAATACAAGGGTTGTGTGGGAACATAGACTTCGAGACTCCCCTCTCTTCGTCTTCTCTCGTGTCACGCTCAGCTGACAAAGAGAAAAGAAGAGCTGCTAGTAGTGTAGGAAACTTGCATCCAGAACTAATAAATTTTTCTACACATACTTAACTATACGAGCGGCGATATATTAAATGTGCTATATGATGTTTCTTTTTATCAATAGGTGAAATTAAAAAAAGTAATTCGTGCAAGTTTTAGAGTTGCCATAGGTGAATATCATTACCTTAATTCTTCTTAAAATTAACCCAGCAAGGAAGAGATAATTGCACCACGCCACATACTCGGAACGAATTACGTTGAGTTTTCATCCATCATTTATCTTTCGTTTATTTCGTGAGAACGCAGTTGTTAACGGCACAAGCTTGAAGTACCTGTAGGACCTGTAGCTAAATTTGCTGCAGCTACAGGTATTTGTTTTGGCAGGCTTTTGAAAGCTTAATTACGTGATATTTTTCATCCGGGGAATATTGTATATGTGAAAGTGGACAGAACAAAGATGCCGATGCGTTTTTTCTGTTGTTTTAGCGTTGTGTCTCCTCGAATTTGTACAAATAGTGTCGAGAATAAGTTGCTTGTATTTGTTTTGATTGTAAACTGGATCAAACTTGAACCGGACGAGGTTTGCGTGCGTGGTGAATTTCAGCTTAAATAAAATACCAGCTGCCGTTACTATATATGATTATAACAAAACTATTGTGAAATAAAGTGTGGTTTTACATGAATATTGCAGCGACACCTGAGCAGCCAGCTCTCTCAAATATTGAAAAAGAACAAAATGTAATTTTCTTTTCAATATTTAAACTCCTGTGTGGTCTTTCCCAGGAATATTTTCAAGTATAATTGCGTGGAATTATTTTAGCGGGAAGAGAGAGACTATTTCTTAATTACTGTGTAACGGTCGCTCTTGATAAAAAGAAATGTAAATTTATTAAAGGCAGCCGTTTTCTGTCAGTTTTTTCCCGAGGTTTCACGCTGGGAGAAAAAAAGCAAATAAAAAGGTAGCTTGAAAAGAAACTACGAACAAAAGGGCATCTAATACTCGATTATCTTTGTATTGTGGAGCAGCTGCACAAAGAAAATAAGATAGGAACACAGTAAATTCGGATTATAGTAATTGAACCGACGTTGAAAGTTGTCCGTAATGTGAAAAATATTTGTATTGTTTTTTCTATAGCGAACGTTTTTTTTTCTTCCAGTCTAACAGGAAATTTTCTATTATTTGCTTTTGTCTGTGCTTTATTGTTAACAAGACTGCTGGACACAATGTTTATTTAGTTTTCTTTTGAGAATGAACGTTTAGGATGAAGTTCATTATCATTTTTGACAATTTTTCACCCTTGCCTCATCATTGGTTCATTGGCGACTACTATTGACAATTTTTTGGCTGCCTGCGAAGTTCAAATAAAAATATGACAAGCGGCTATAAATACCTCCTTAATCGCGCTAGAATATATTTTCTGTCTTCAAGCTCTTTTACCTTTTACGAAGTTTAAGTACCTCTTTCGGGTCAACATTTTTCTCCGCGGAGGAAACTATTACATGAGAAATTAATATCAAATTTCGGCTATTTGCTTTGGTTGTTTGCCTACAGGTAAACTGGCCTATAGCATTTCATTCTATGAGCTGGAGTCCATGCGGATTTTCGTTGTTTAATTTAGACAGTATTCAAATTAAGTCTCGCTGGGTCTCTCGACGAAAGCGTGTATCCTGTACGATCACTTTCAATGTTATGAAGTACCTGGCTGTGTTTAGAGCAACGCGTTGAAAGGAAAATCGACATTGAATTTGTAATGTTTCTTGTGATAACCGAGTGTTCGTGTCGACGGTCGAGAGACATGTAAACACAAGCTCTAAGTTTAGAAGTCATGGCGTTGTTCATTCCAATTTCTCGACGCGCAAATGTTGGAAATCACAGTGACCTGTACCGTTATCATTTAGTTCCTCACAGTAGCGAATTTCCTGAGAGGTATTTCCTCTTCGTTCTCTATACGGTGATTTAGTACACGGCGCTAGCTCCTGTGAAGTCAATAGTGGGTTCACAAGTGGAACGAGCTATAAAAGGTGGACAGCTGTGAACATTTCAAGGTTGTTACGGCGAAGTTACCTTCCTGGAGAGATAACATTACAAATATTAGTTACTCCTTGACGATTTTTGCTTAGCGACGCGTCGACAGAGTGCCCGCTTGCCGTATTGTTTGGGATCTGTAGGCTCTTAGACAAGAGAAGTCCGCATAAAAGAACACATGTAGCTACTGAATGAGTCGCCGTTCTTTCGAGTAATCGCCATGGCTTTAGGATGAAACGCCATGCTTTCGTCAAGAAGAACAAAGTTCCTTCGCCTAAACTCGAACGGGGATATGTGTTCGGCGTTAACAGTTGGGTAAGTCAAAACAAAAGCATGTAATTGTAATGGATGATGCTTTTAATTTGCGCAGCAGCCAGTTTAAAAGAGGTAAAATGCAAATGTACAGCGAAGAAAAACGCAGAAAAGTTCAGTTCGATACTGATACATTGTAGCGTTAATTCTTGTGGAACTCTGTTATCAGTTTGTGATATTGTAAACCATGTTATAGTACACTTTTGTTTCTTAGGTTCATCGTTATTCAATTAAATAGCGGTGTCATTTACCCGCTGAATTATTCAAAAATTGTTTTCCCGTGATGTCTGTGTGACCAGCGCGTTTCTTGTCAGAAAATGGTTAAAAATCAGTCTAATTTTGGAATCCGCTCTATAGTATGTCGCCACCATTCCAAACTTTTATCACTTTTTTAGTAACTTTATCCTGCAATGCCCAACCAAAACTGAAGACATGTCAGTTTTGTAACTACAGTATATATTCAAGTGTTTAGTATTCTTTTGACCGACGAGGTCTCAAAAACCTATAAATTTTTTAGATTCAATCATAACGCCACGCTCTCGTTTTCAGAGCGAGTAAAATGTATTCTCAAAGCTGTGCAATATTGTGGCTGTAATAATTCTAAACTTTTTTAATTATGGAAATTGTTACTTCAGTAAGCCTGTTGTACATTTTATTGTTGTCGTTCAATAATACTATTATAATACTATTCTTTGTAAGTGGTTCCTTCTTACCGTAATTTCCGTCACAGTGAATGACATGCTTATTAATTGTCTTCCGGAATAAAGTGAAGTAAATACGTAGACATATTTTAGACGGGGAAAATAATGGGGCACTTTTCAATCCTTTTTCTTGTTTTTTCATACTGCTGCTTGCTGGAATCAGTGAGGATTTTAAATGACCAAAAAGTAAGGAAGGGTTTGGGACATTTCTAATCTGATTTGAACTCCGCGAAAATTTTAAAACAATTACAAATTTGTAACTGAAAGACAGTTTGTTTGAGAAGGTGGTCTGTAAAATAAACACTTTTTTTCCGTGCTACCTAGCTTAGATACCAACTGAAGAATGAAAGTCCGAACCTTATCTCATCACAACAGAGCTCGATCATGCCCTGTGAGGTTAAATGTAGTATAATGTAAAGATATCTTTCAATAACAGATTCAAGTCAGGTAGTAACTTTCATGTTTTTGTTGTTTTTCGTGTAGGCAATATCAAGTGATAATCAAACACATTGTAAAAGCTCGTACGTTTCATCATGAAAGTTATAAAACACACCCAGTCTTTCATGAGCTGTGTTTTATGTGGCCAATGTTACGTTTATTTTCAAAAATGCTTTGTTATTACGTTATTATGCTAAAAGACCGCCCAGTTTTGTTGTTATGGATTGTTATTTTTATTCGTGTATATTGGATTTTAACTAATACAACGATCACTATAAGCAACCACAATATCAGAATTTTGGCGCCGTTTCGTTTTCGCGACCCAACATCGTCTCAGTGTTTTCAGACAGGTAAACTCGGACGCTATCAGAATACAAAATTAGCAATGATTGTGATCATTAAAATATTGGTGTTATTTTTTTTTTGCGCCAGATTTCTATCTTCATGAATTATTACACGCTCGGATGTTACGAGTGTATATGTATAAGGTTAATTTGGTTTGTCCAGCTTATCAGTAGCCATGAAATACGCTATCACAGGATGTGCTTTGTGAATGTGATCGAGAAATTCTTGCTGCCATGAATAAGAATTCTTTGCTCGCGGTGTTGAAGGTAAGAATAAGGACTGGACTTGTGGAGTTTAAGATTCATGGCCCTCACTCGGGGAAATTGTTTCTGCTTCGAAACATTTAAGGCTCTATTACATGTTGTTAGGTTTTCTGAGCTTTTCTAAGCTCTTTGACGACATTAGTGCGATAACTAGGGTTAATTGATTCATTACACTCAGATTGCTTACAATTACAAATTGTTTTTATCAGAAATAACCCAACGATAATGAGCTCTTGATGGGAAGCAATCTGTTTTATTTTCTACGTCTTCCTAAAAAATGCGAGCGTCCATTGTCCCTTTGTACCGTTGATTGGCATAATAAGCAAATGAGCGCTGGCGTGTACGGTTTTGAGCAAAAAATAACACTAAGAGATCGCAGTATGAATTGGTTTGAGCGAGCTTCTGGATAGAGGTTGCACTATAAACACATATGCGTATATCGTTGTAATGTTTTGATACATGATCCGTGCGATGTTTGTGTGTGAGCTTAGTCCGGCAGAATCCTTTCGTCGTGTTTCCTGTCTCTGAAATAATAACATTACAAACCCCCTCGGTTTCCTGATCATGCGACATCTAACGTTTTAACATGTCGTGTTGTTTAATACTCAGTTATTTTTTATTGTGGAAGTCTGTTAAGATTATTTATTTGTAGGAGAGGGTTTCTTTAAGGTTTTTTTTTTTTCAGTTCTATATCTTCCGAAATTGTCTTTCACAACAGAGATTAAGGAGTCACAAGTTCGCTTTGGTGTCCAGTTGCGTAGTGAGGTTTCGTCAACAGGAAATACAAACCAGGGTCAAACCAAATACGTTACGAAATAATTTTACCCACTCGAAGAAATTACAGCAACTTATCTATTTGTCCTGTGTGCTTTTTATTCCACTGTTAGCTGGGTGTCAAAACAGTCACAAATTTAATTAAAATTCCCCGCTCTCTTGAGACTGTTTGGGTGGTGGGATGTTATGTAATATTCCAAGAACTCTTAAATACTGGTGTCAATTTTCGTGATGTGATATTGGTCGCGGCTTAAATCACAGTGTGTTCATTCAGTGATCAGTTGCGCACTAACACTTGTTAAGTGTAGCAAGGCAATGGAGTGAAACGTTATAGCAGCATTGGTAGCGGCCTTTAAAATGGTTCCAAAGGTTGGTCTTGTAAAGTCTAATTCAACTTCCCATACAGAAGTGTTGATTTTGTTGACGTAAATTGATTTAATGCACTGTTCTCGAGGCATATATACATGTTTCTAGAAGAGTCCTAGAAGAACGAATTATTTACAACGGAAATACTAGACGTGTTTCTGACATAACCTTAAGTTATGTGCATATTACACATCTTATTGTGCATCAAATGTTATAGAAAGACATAATAATACTTTTAGAAGAACGTTGGTTGTAGCATCAGCATGTAAGCTAAATCTGATTTATTTCGTTGGAGACAAGAAGTTTTCTTTGGGCTTTTTGTTTACATGTCTAATGCAGTGTTGTCGTTTCCAGGCCTATTACCGCCAAGGTGTGGCGCTGCAGTGCCTGGGTCGACATGCGGATGCCCTGGGAGCCTTCGCCTCTGCGCTTGCGCAGGATGACAAAAGCCCTCAACTGCTGACCTCGCTGACTGAGGCCGCGATGAAGTCCCCACTCAGAGGTAAAGATTGGTGCTTATTTGTGTTTCCTGTTAAGGTTCCAATTAAGTACTCAGCGTGTGCCAGTCGTAGACTGATTCTTATCAGTTGTATCCGTTAATATGATTATCAATGGCAGGAGCACAGACGGACAAAATTTTTCAGAATGTTGAGCATGGATGTGTTTATTATTAAGTTTGTATCTCGTGTATTCCCTTCAACAAGACGAAATGTTTGCTGGACTATGATCGGATTAATTCTTTGATTACAACTTATTTAAGTGTCAATATATTCTCTTGTTTGAGGGGAAAAAAATAAAAACCGAGTCGCAAAATTGTCTAACAGATACTGAGACTGAAAGTGAAGGCTAATCTTGGATTAGGTTAATCCCATTTGAATAAGGAGGCCCTGGAATACAAACCAGGGCGGACTGAGGGTAGAAGACAAAACAGAGAACGCAATTTTCATTCTCAGTCAATACGCAGATCTCACTGAAAAGAGATTACTTAAACCGTTTTGAGTAGACGCTGCTTCACAAAACTCTATCGTAGCTTTTAGTTCGGTGTTATTGACTAAGGTAAAAGGGGTTTCTTTATCTCCGATGTTTCCGTTTCCTTTTACATTCCTTTGTCAGCAAGGGAAGATAAGTAGTTTAAAGAAAAGAGGAAGGTGATATGCGACTCACTTACATTCGATACATAGTGATATATATTAATTTGACATTAAATCGTGCCGAGACAGTCTGGTTTTAAATAGTCAGTGTTTTCCCAGTATATCTGATCTTACTCCCTGACACAGTACCCTTGTTTTTCAAGAGTATTTATAGATATCGTTTTGATTGGGGTCTGGTATGAAAAGAACCGAGATAACTATGAAATGGATTCAGTGGTTTTACTTGACCTCGCCAGTTTGTAAATTGTGTTTGATTTTGCCGCGGTACTAAAAATAGCTACATCTGCTTAAGTCGTAAACATTCATTGCAATCATAAAGTATCCTGAATGTTTTACGTACTGAAATAGTCTATTCCCGAATTACATTAAGCCACTTTCTTAAAGCGTGTTTTGGTGCCCATCCTTTCGTATGAAAATGATATTTATTCACATGCAAATTAAACTCATTTTCGTATCAATGGTTGTGCACCAGGCCTCGTTTTGATAGAGAGGCTCAAGGCAACTCGGAAGTGGGCTATTTCGCATTGCTTTAACTTTACGATGTCTCTGGAAATGATCATAAAGCCGGCAAACTTCAAAGAAGTAAACAAAGACGGCTACTATTACGTTGGAAGGTACTCTGTCGTACACAATTTTGTTTTTCGCTCATACGCTATTCGTGAATTTCTTAACCTGAACATTTCTAATGGTTAGTTCCTCAGTCATCAGTAAACAACTTTTGTGTTTTGTGCACGGTCAAGGCCAAAAACACGAACAAAAACGTACAGCAAGAACTTTGTAGGGATTCATAACTATTCCCTCTACATTAACTATGGTAAGATATCAAAGCAGGAATTCTCTGTACTGATTGTCGTAAATCCTAGTTATGAGAATTTAGTGAAACTATCCCTTTCCGTTTGATGATGATGATGTGGGTTACTTATGTGTTCACTTACTTTCGCAGCTACCTTGGAGCCAATCTACAGCCAACTGAACAAGATGAAACTCGACAAGAGTCCTTTTGTCATGATCTCAGTTATCGGCCAGGAGTTGCTGTCAGTTGGACATTTATCAGCGGCTGTAGATTGTCTTGAAGCAGCTTTAAAGGTTGGGACCTGCGGCTTACGTCTCCGCGGCTCAGTCATATCCGCGCTAAGCACGGCGTACTGGAAACTAGGAAATGTCAAGAAGGCCATGGAGTACATGACACAAGATCTAGAAACTGCACAGTCTTTGAACGATAAAGCGGGCGAGTGCAGAGCGCATGGCAATCTAGCTGGAGCTTATTATTCACAGCGGATGTACAAAGAAGCCATTGATCATCAGAAGAACCAACTGGGTATCGCTATGAAGCTAAAGGATCGGAAAACTGCCGCCAGCGCGTTGAGCTCTCTCGGACACACTTATGTCTCAATAACGGATTATACAAACGCTATCTCGAGTCATAAGCAGTCTATGCAGATTTACAAAGAGTTGAAGGATAAGCAAGGTGAAGCCAGAGAACTTGGCAATATCGGAGCTGTGCATGTCTTGTTATCAGATTACGACAACGCCATCAAATACCATCAAGAACACTTGAAAATCGCCATTGAGCTTGGAGACAAAGCTGAGGAAGGCCGAGCGTACAGCAATTTGGGAAGTGCATTTCATTACAAGAGAGACTTTGATAAAGCGATTCAGTTTCACAGACAGGTGCTGGAAGTGGCAAAGAAGACCAAAGATTCTTTCATGGAAGCGCGCGCTTATGCCGGTCTTGGACATGCGCTGAGGTGTAAAGGTGACGTAGACCAGGCCAAATCTTTCCACGAGTTTCAACTGGCACTGTCAATCAAACTCAAAGATCGTGCGACCGAGGGGCGTGCTCTCTCCAACTTAGGAATTATTTTTCAGCAGAAAGGACTCTACGGACAGGCTCTGAAACTGCACAAAAGACACTTGGCCATTTGTAAGGAGTTGGACGACCGAGCGGGACAGGGTCGAGCCTATGGCAACATGGGCTGCGCTTACAGCGCATGTGCACGGTATGACCAGGCTATTAAATTTCACAAGCAGGAACTCATGATTTCCAAAGAGGTGAACGATCGGCCCTCAGAGGCCTGTACACATGGCAACTTAGCTGTGGCTTATCAAGCTATTGGAAGCCTTGACAAATCACTCAAACATTATCAACAACACTTAGCAATTTCACAGGAACTCGGTGATCAGTCAAATGAAGCTATCGCGCTGAGTAATCTGGGCAATTTTTACAGCTCGTGTGGGAACTTCTCCAAAGCCATTCCCTATTATGAAAACTTTTTATCCCTTGCAAGACATTTGCGTGATCGGGCGGGAGAGTGCAAAGCTTGCCACAATCTCGGTTTCGCTCATTACTCGTTGGGGAATCACTTGGATGCGGTGCCGTATTATGAGAGGAACGTTGAGATTGCAAAAGATTTGGAGGACAGAGCGAGTCTCGGTCGCGCCTTCTGTAATCTTGGACTGGCCTACAGTGCTCTCAGTAAACAGGATAAAGCTCTTGAGTGCCAGAAGGAATTCTTGACTGTGTCACAAGAAGCAATGGATGTTCAAGGCGAATTCAAAGCTTGTGGCAACATCGGTGATATTTACGTATCGTTAGGAAATACCAATCAGGGAATCCGGTTTTTCCAGGAGCAACTTCAAGTCGCCAAGAAAGTGCAAGACATTACCCTGGAGAGCGAGGCACATAGAGCGTTAGGAAGCGCTTTCAGAACTGCAGGCGATTTTGAAAGAGCTATGTCCTGCTTCCAAGAAGAGTTAGGACTGAGAAGAGCTGCTCACGACTCTGTCGGTACTTGTAAGGCGTTGAGTAATCTCGGCTCGGTTCACACGGGCTTACGTCAGTACAACGATGCGTTCAAATGCTATTCTGAGCAGCTTGGTCTCGCTAATGAACTAGATGACTGCATTCTCCAAGCGGAAGCCTGCGGCAATCTGGGCATTACAAAAATGAACGCTGAAGATTATCAAGAAGCACTTGGATTCTTTGAGCAGCAGATTGCCACGTTAGAACAAGTGGCTGGCGCCGTGCTGGAAAGCGGTCGTGCGTACGGGAATTTGGGCGAGTGTTATCACATGTTAGGTGATCACGAGGAGGCTGTGAAATACTACGAGAAATATCTCGCTGCTGGGCAACAACTGGAGAGCGCCACTGACCAGGACAAGGCGTATCGTGGGCTTGGAAACACGCACAGGACCATGGGAAATCTCCAACAAGCTCTGGTCTGTTTCGAGAAAAGGCTTGTCGTGGCTCACGAGTTGACTGATTTCCGCTCCAAAGGAACAGCTTATTGCGAGCTGGGAAACATGCACAAGATTCTCGGCAACTACGAACAAGCGCTTGCTTGTTTCCAGCAGCAGCTGTCCTTGGCAAGGGAGAATAATGATGCAGTCAATGAAGGTGACGCTCTTTGTGGACTGGGACTGGTTAATCAGAAGATGGGGGAGTACGAGAAGGCGTTGAAACTCCACGAGGATGAAATGGCTGTCGCCGACAAACAGAAAAATCTTGGGCGTCGTGGGCGCGCTTCCTTCCATCTCGGCATGACGCATGAAGTTCTCGGAAACTACGAACAAGCTGTGATCTACCAAGAACAGCACCTCAACATTGCCTCGCAGATGAACGATCAAGCTGCTAAAGCCCAAGCGTACAGTTCCTTGGGAAGAACACATCACGCTTTGGCCAACTATCTCCAGGCCATCTCTTATCTCAAGCAAGGACTTGCCATTGTAGAAGCTCTCGGTAGGAGCGAGGACGAAGCGCGAATACGTCATCGGCTAGGCTTGTCGCACTTGGCTGATAATCAGCTGGAAGCATCGCAGGCTCATCTTTTCCGTGCAGCAGAATTGTTGGAGAAGTTGCGTGAAGACGGAATTCATAGTGGCGACTACAAGCTCTCTTTGTATGAGCTCCAGGCTGCGACCTACCAAGTATTACAGCGTGTTTTAGTCACTATGGGTAACCATAAGGAAGCGTTAGCAGTCGCCGAGCGGAGCCGGACCCGAGACTTTATCGATTTGCTCCAAGAACGACAAGGAAGTAATCGATCAGAGAACGGTATTTCGAAGTACTTGGAGAATCCCTTGACAACACCTGAACAAATCACAGACTTAGTGAAGAGCCAGAAAGCTAGTATCTTGTACTATTCTATTGCTGCAGGACACTTGTACAGCTGGCTTATTACTCCGACCAAAGGCATTGTAAAGTTTCATGACTCCCTGCTGTCTGACGGCGACCATGACAATGAAATGACAGTTGATTTGGATCAGAGTAGCAGTGCTACTTACTCTCACACTTCCTCTCTGCTAGACTCGTACATCACTCAAGTACGAGACGCGCTTGGCGTTGAACCTCATTTAAACTTGAACCGTACAACTAGCATGTCTGAGAGTGAAGTTGAAGACGCCTGGGAACGAGAGAGTTTACTCAGTGCGAGCCCACTGTCGTACATGTCAGCAGACGACGATGATACTATAAGCGTGTCGTCATTGTCGCTTGGTCACAGTTTCCGCTCGACTACGAGGAATAACTTTTTGTCAAAGAAAAACGTTCGAAAGTTGAACGGTGTGCGAACTAGTAGCAAGAAACTTGGCTGGTCTGGCAAGCCACCACTTCGAGCTTTGTACGAGCTGTTAATTGCTCCTATGGAAGACGCTTTACCGGCTTCTTCATCGTTCGACGGCGACGATTCGGAGCTTGCGTTAGTTCTCCAAGGAGACTTGTACCTGGTGCCTTTCCCTGTCTTGAAGGGAAGCCTTTCTAAAGAGTATCTCTTCCGAAGGTTTAGACTAATTGTTGTTCCTTCACTGCAATCGCTCGCTACCAACATTAGAACACTGGCAACGAGGAGGACTGGTTTGGATACGTCGTCGGTCATGGTGATCGGAAACCCGAAGGTCCCGACGACGTTTGGCCAATGGGAGTCAAACCCGAGCGCAGAACACGAAGCTAAGATCGTGGCTGAGCTGTTCAACACCAGACCACTACTTGGCAGTTTTGCGACTAAGAGCGAAGTTGTCCGAAATTTACCGAAGGCGGAATGCGTTCATTTTGCTACGCATGTCTCGTGGAAACTTTCGTCTCTTATTCTTGCACCTCAGAATTCCGACGAGAAGCTTGTGACGCCCGCAGGATCACCCGAAAGAGCGAGTCTGGACTTCCTTGGTGACATGAGCCCTGATGAAGCACCAGCGCTGTCTGAATTCCTTCTCACGGCAGCTGACATTTTGGACCAGAAGTTGTCTGCTAAACTCGTAGTTATTGGCGCTGCGCACAACCACTCGTCGCGCAATCGGATAACTTCGGATGGTGTGATCGGATTAACGAGATCGTTTCTGTCTGCCGGCACGCAGAGTTTATTGGTAGCCCTGTGGCCCGTACCCGACTTAGCTTGCAAGTTACTACTGAAAGCGTTTTACGGCGGTCTTCTTCAAGGAATGCTAGCCAGTCAAGCCCTTTGTCAGGCGATGCAAGTTGTTCAGAGTACGAAGCAGTTTTCACATCCATCCAACTGGGCTGGCTTTATTCTGGTGGGTGGAGACACTGCTCTGACGAACAAGGAAGCTCTGATGAGCAGTGCCATCTCCAAATTGTTGGATAATCCTGTCAACTGTAGAGATGCGCTCAAAGTTCTCGTTCATCTGGTATGTTCAACTATTATCTTTGCAGTGTTCAGTTGTGTACGCGCGCGCAAGGTTCTTATTTTCAACGAGCCCGACAACAGTACATATATTTTATGCCCGATTTTTTGGGCTCGATTTTGTCAATAGAAGATAAAATCCATTTCCTCTTATTTTGACTTAATTTCTGGTGGATTCTGATAAGCAAAGGTTAAAACCCAAACATTGCTAGTTTAAAGTATAAAGCCTGTTCGTTGCTTTGCTGAAACGTATAACGATTCAAGTCTCCTTAGAGAGAGTCCTCTGACCTCGCAACAACAACAAAAACAACAAGATTCAAACAAACAAATGAACAACACCTTTACAGGAATAGAATATCTAAGATGTAGTTCATTCCAATTTTGGGCAGTTCAACAGGTTTCGTTCGAAATGTTGCATTTGTAATACGCCTTGGTCAAGTTGGTGCTAACTGTCTCATGGATTCACTTTAGGTGGACAAGGCTCAGCAACGTATTCGTCAAGGTCAGCGGTCATCTATGTACACAGCAGACGCGAGCATTAACGCTAAAGTCAAAGGAGCCAGTGGATGGCGGGACTTGCTCAAGCTTCTCGGCTTTCGGTTTCAAAAGGCTGCCAACGGACTTCCAGACTCGGTTTTCTTTCCGTCAGTTACCAGTGGAGTGACAGAGAAACTGGCTGCTGCAAGTGATCATCTGCATGCTTTACTAGGTAAGTTGTCTACCTCCTGGCGAAAACTATGATCTCAGTAAATTCTGTACGGTGGCACCTCTCTGAAAATATGCTTGTTCATTTAGTGCATTGGTAGGACAGTTGATCGTGGCTTGTATGTCTAATGTTTTCAATTGCATGACTTTTCCCTCAGGTCTAAGTCCCACCACCCTGCAGGCGCTGGCCAAACTTGTGAATGCGCACGCAGTGAACACAGCTTTAGTGGCTCTGGTATGTCATTCATCATTTGTAAGATGGCGTGTAACAAACAGTGAAAAGAATTGATTAAGTTTCCTTGTGAAAACCATAGATTAGACAAGCTGATACCCCTGTGCCTGCTGAAGCTAAGTGTACTGATGTCGAATTTTGTGTAAACTCCTTATCCAGGTAGATGTTACAAATCAGTGTATCAGAATTGAAAGAAAAAGCTACGTTCGTTATTTGAAAGCAGTAAATTTTCCAATTTACTGAACGTTCGTTTCGAAAAGTTGAATATTGCAAGGTTCGGTTACCTTGTTATTTGACTGCGATCATGATATCCTGACTGTATCTTGACTATCCTTTGACTGTAGCTATAAAGACGAAACACAAAGCTACTTTCAAACAAGAATAGTTAGCACAGTATGGTTGTCGTTTTTTTTATGCTATTAATCCCGTTTTCTTGTTGTGTTACAGTTTAGCCAAGTGTTGTCGTGCTTCACTCAGGGCATGAACAATGTCCAGGTGCCATTAAATCTCAAGTTATGGCGGACATCAGGCTGTCACGAGCTGCTTGCGTCTCTCGGCTTTGATCTGATCGGTGTCGGTAAAGATGAAGTCATGCTGCGATCCGGCAAGACCAACAGTAGACGAGCTGTGCAGTGCACAGTACAAGCTTTGTGTGCTTTGACTGGTAAGCACGTCAGTTATAAGCCTTCAATGAGTAGGGAGTATTGATGCGTTTGGTCTGATGATCAGAGCGCTTAAGCACATACTCTTTTGAGAGACGTTCGTGAATCGGAGGTCGAATTTTCTCTTCTTCGTCGCGGAATTATCGACGTCAAGTTGTAAATTTTATTGAAAATGAGAGCTTTCCAACTAATTAGTTGAGGCGGGGATTGGAGGAAGGGAGGGTGAAAACGCGCCAGAAGTACGGTTGACGTCCATGGCTAAAAAATGCCTGTGTTTACACACCTTTTGCAAAGCACTAAAGCTAACCAACGGAATGGTGTTCATATTTTGGCCAGTCAAGTGCGGAATGGAAAGTCTGGGAAGCAATCAAATTTTCCGTGTTTTTAGTGCAAGTTCTTCTTGGCAGCAGCATCCAACAGCAAAAAAGAAGAAAATTCGTCATTTAGGTTAATGATTGTCGTAATGTACTATGACATTCTGAGAACTTACATTAAAGCAATTGTACCGTGGTTTACGATGTGCAAAATTACCTTAGATTGAAGACTAGCACTGAAAGATTGATCTAGTGAATTTTTGTACTGTGTACCTCGAATCTAGGGAGTTTGGAGGCAAAGATTTGTGATAAATAGTTCCTTGCTTGCCTCGAGTTATCGTCACATGTCTAAACACTTGGCTTCTATAATCTGTGATTTGAAAACTGAAATAGTCCTTTAAAGAATGTGAAAGATAGTTATAGGTAGCATATCTTTTGGTGGTCACGCAATGTTACTTTACTCGCAGTAGCTGAGGATTGTGTGACTAAGTCACTAGTGTGAATGATTCAGCATTGCACGTGTTACATGACCTGTGGCTTTTTTTTCCCCTCAGATTCAGAGAACCCAGCTGAAAAGGAAGACCCAACATTTAAACTGTCCAAGGTTCACTCAGCTTCAACTGTCATCTCCAACCTGTCTCTCAAGTCAGCTTCAATGGAGTCAGACCTTGATGCCATGACTTATGACACAGAGGTTCCTTCTCGTGATGTGAAGAGTATAGGGGGCTCTAGTATGAGGGCCAAGAACAGTATCACCGCAAGGCCAGTGAAATCTGAGGCCCAACCTTCGAGTGAGTTGTATAATTTAACGAGAGTTCAAGAAGCCGAAAGAAGAAGCTTACGAGCTCTTTCCAAATCACAGCCTTTACTTGCAAGTAGAAATCATTCAAACACAACCAGCGCATATTCCAGTTTCAACGGACATGTTCGCAGTTCTAAGACACAATCTAAAACTTCATCCGTCGTGGATCACTCGAGGAATTCTTCGCTACCCGATCCATCAGATTCGGACATCGATAGCTACTCGGACATTGTCGGGCAACGTTCATGGAAAGACCCGGTTAGTCACCAGAGTGTGGATCTCTCGGTGACCAGCTCAAATTCTAGACAAGCCGTTCCAAATGGTTATCCGCGCTCATGGGCGTCCAGTTCCAACCCAGCGGGCAGTGTCATTGCCTTCCCTGTTCAGCAACGTCGAGTCATTGAAGATGCAGCAAGGACTCCAAAGCAGATTTCAACAAGTACACCGAAACAAAGCTACGAGCCTGTTATGAACGGTACCAATCATTCTGATATCAATGGAGACGGGTTACAGCGAGGGAGGTCCCTGAACGAGGATGGCACTTCGCGAGGACGGCCTCAGAGAAGGAGCCGGAGTGAGAGCCAGGATCCAGCCCTTCAAAATGGCTCTCGGTCTGTTGGGTATAACCGATCAAAGTCCATACCGAGGTTGAGGGAGAATGGATCTAGTGATGAGGAGGACGCTGCGCATGTCAGAGAAAGACGAAGGTTGAAAAGTAGTACAGACTTAAGAACTAATCGTGTGATTACTGCAGTAGGTAGAACTCACAATGATAGATTAACTGATCAAGCACAGTTGAGAGTTTCCAATGTTGATTTATCTGCAAGTTCATCTAGTAATAGACCTGCACCATTGAGAAATGGTGAATACAAAGTAAATCACGCCGATCAACTTGCAGCTGAAATGGGAAGGAGAGATTCGCTCCAAGGAAGGAGACCATCCTTACCAAAGTTTCGTGACGATTCACAGTCTTCTCAAGATAGTACCGATTATGAGTCACGACAGACTGCGGCAGAGAGGGCAGCGGCTGCATTAATGAGTAATCACGTGACGCACGTGCCGCCGGCGCAACCGCTGACCAGCAAGCGGACAACTCCGCAACCTTTGGAGATGAAAGACATGACTGTGGACACCAGGAGGCTGAGGCGAGAACATCTGGCAAACTTGGCTCATCTCCAGTCCTCCTCCTGCTAGGGTAAGAATACAAAACAAGATTTGCTTCTGACACTTATATAGCAGTATTTGTTGTTT